CCCCATCACAGGTTACCTGTGCAGGTTCTCCCCCCCACCCCGGATACCTGTGCAGGCTTTGCCGTCCCCGGCCAGGCGGTGGCCGCGGGGGCAGTGGCAGCGCGGTCCCGCTGCCGTGTGCTCGCAGCCGTGCTCACAGCCGCCGTTCCCGTCCCGGCAGCTGTCCACGATTTCCATCTCGATGCCTGGATGAAATAAATCAGAAGGGAGTAAAAAGCAAGCCCGAAGGATGTAAAACAGCAGCCAGGAGCACTGTAGCAGTGAGCGTAACCAGCTCACAGCCCCTCCCCACAAGAGCAGCCTTTGGAGTCACTGAGCTCCAGGTGTTGGTGGATGCTCTCAAATTCAGCCATGTGAGGCTGGTTCAGTGTTCAGCAGCCACCTGCTACAGGAGCCTTCCCAGCTTTCCTCAGGTTTATGCTTTGCCCCCATGGAGGAGCAGAAGCATCTGAGGAGCCCAGGTGGTATCCCCCAACCCAGCCTGATGCACTTCCCAAAGAGCAGCTTGGAGTTTTGCATGGGAATGGCAAACAGCTGGGTTCCGAAACATCCCCCAAGCATAAAGGCACTAAAACTTCCTAAGCAGAGTCCTGCTGGTGAAATGGACACCCAACCACAATGCAAAACAACCTCCAGGTTTTGGTTCTTGGATGTCCCTTCCAGGGAGACACAGCAGCTCCTCTGCTGAGACTTTGTCCCCTACAGGGTGGTACAGTGCCACTGCCAGCCCCCTTTGCCCTGACAGACTTCCATGCCCTCCTCATGGGGCTGCACTGGACAGCCCTCAGAACATCCTGGCCATTCCATGTCCTCAGAACATCCTGGCCTTTTCCTTCACATGAAAAATGGAACACCTGGCCACCTCATTGCTACCCAGCTACTTCATCAGATGATTTCTCCAGGATGCAAAGAAACCACAGGGTCAGTTATGAAGTTTTTCACAAAGGATTAGCCAGCTTTTGTTAGAGAGCTATTTAGACAGGAAATAATTTCTCCTACTCTGTAGGGAAACTGAGAAACACCCTTCCTAAAGGAGCCACTGTACTTCCAGAAACAGCCCAGCTCGGAGTGGTGGCCATCAGATCTGGCACAGAATTTCCCCAGACACATCTGTGCTGCTGGGCTCTGGTCCTACCCCTGGGAGCAACCTGCTTGCCAACAAGAAATGTAATTCCAGCTGGAAGAGGGTATAAATTAAGAGAATAAATATCTCTACATCTCATGCATAGTGTGATTATTTGCACCAGGGAGAAGAAATCTCCCTGGTCTCCTGTCCAGTGTGTTAAACTGGGATTTAGTAAACCCAGTAATTAAATGCAGAATCTGACTTCATACACAATCTTCATCATTTACTTTGTCCCAGCTCTTCATCAGTAAAACTGAAATACCAGCTCTTCCCCAGCCACTGGGGAAATGAAAGAATAAACAAAGATTGTAAATTGCTCAAACACTGGGATAATCCTGATCATAAATATATGCAGAATGTTTTTATTTTTATTGTTTGCTCTGCAATATTGTACATGAGGCACAGAGAATCACCATCCCCTGAGATCTGCTGAACATCCAGAAAAATTATTATCAGAAAAGCACAATGAAATCTAAGTGATCTAAACCTCTTTTTTATGCCTATGACAGAAGATTTCATATCTATATATTAATCACATTTCCTCTGCCATTGCACCGCTCACAGTACCCCACCAACTACGAAATAACTCTCCAGGATATCTCCCACATAATTGGGTTTTGTTTTTAATCTATGTTAATGCCTTGAAACTGGATTTCATTCTTAATAACTATTTCTTACACACACATTCTTAAATAAAGCACTCATTCTCTGGCATGCAGCATATTTTCCTAAGGAAGCTCTGCTGAAAGCTCTTGCACAGTATTATTAGATTGAATGATCTTTGCCCACCTCTTTGCTAAACAGGTCATGCTTTTGTCTGCATTCCAGGGAGCTTATGTTAGGTCCATAATAACCCCAACTCTTCCACATCACCTCCTTTATTAATCTAAATTTGCCCTCAAGGGCAGGCCAGGGATCACCTATCAGCGAGCAGCACTGGGAGTCAGTCCCCCTCTCCAGAAAAGCTGCGTTGATTAAGAAACCCCGCTGGCAAGGGGTAAGCACGTGAGGAAAGACAACAGGGCTCGCTTTAGCTTGGGAAGTTTGAGTTGTTCAACTAGTTTTTCATCCCAAATCTTTCTTTTTTTTGTTGCCTTTTTTTGTTTTAAAGCATCCTCTTAAAGGTGCCAGTAATCTCAGGAGAACCACAAGCAAACCCAGACAGGTAAAGACAAGAGCAGAACATCGTGTTGGTTTTCTCTTGCATCAGGACTGTAAGAAAGCTGGCAGGAGGAGGAGGAGGAGTGCAGGAATGAATACATTTCACAGAACAGCAGCATTCTGGTGGCTCTGCAGCAGAATTCACCAGGCTCTGAAGATAAACCAACAGGGCTATTTGCTCTTTGAAAGGCAGTAATTAAGGTCTGTGAACACAGGCTTAGGAACACGTCACCCTGCAAACCCAGCAGCAGCAGCAGAGGAAGAAAACAGTATTAAGGCTGATCTTTTGCATACATTTCCTCTGCTGGGGATGGAAATCCCAGAGAATGAGAAGTGAGGCCTGGCAGGGAGCAGAGGGGAGAGGAAGAGGAGCAGGGCTGGGCAGGGTCACTCACGGTAGCAGCGCCGCCCGTCTGCGCCCAGCTCGAAGCCGGGGCTGCAGGCACAGCTGAAGGAGCCCGGGGTGTTCACACAGCGATGGGCACACCTGGCACTGCCCTCGGCACACTCATCCACGTCTGCAAGCACACAGAAAGTTGTTCAGCTGGACATGGAAATGAAAAAATAATGCTGCTCTATATGGATGTGGCTGCATTTCCAAATATCTGCTGGGAGGATTATCCTGGGGTCAGCCTACAAAGGACAGCACCCGGTGAGCCCAGGAACATTATACTCACATTATTCTCCAGAACAATCTTTTTCTGAGCACCATTGACCTTGAATTTCTCAGTGTGAACAATTACAGTATCAAACACTATATTTGCAGTATCAGCCAAAGCACCTTATTTATTATCCCTGTAAAAAAAGAGCAATGGCAAAAGAAGACCTTGTGTGAAGAACTCAGAAGAAACTTCCAAAACTCTGAAATGATCACCATGTCCTCCAAGCCATTATAGTTAAAATAATGGAACAAGAAATAGCTGATTATTCTCTGAATGTCAAATGATCTGGATTAAGTGGTGGTTGGGTTCCAGGAGGGATGATGGAGACAGATCATCCCTGAATCTTGAAGCTGCTTTACAGCAGTGCAGTGGGAGGCACCTGCAGCCACCACAGCAGCTCCAGCAGCCCTGTGAGGGAAGGAAAAGCTGCAGAGCCTTAAGTGGGGAGGCTGCTCTTCCCCCAGTCCTCTGCCAAGCAGGCTGCTCCTCAGCTTCACACCTGCTGGTCTGTATTTTGGAGTTAAATGTCCCCAAAGGTGTCCATCTTCCTAAAATCTCAGTGGAACATAAAAGTACCTTTAAGGAGTTAGTTAAAACTTTTAATTAGTTTAAGAATACAAACAAACGCACAAAAATTTACACTAAATACAGCTGCACAAAACACTGACCTCTATGCAAAGACTGGTATCACACATGGCAAACCCCTGATGCATCTCCTGGTCCTTCTCATTCTGCCACCTTTCTGGCAAAATACAGATTATTTATTGCACCAATGCTGGGTCAGTGTCTTGAAGATGGCAGGGAGCAGTCTGATGTGCAGCTCTTCACTTTTTATCCCACAAACCACACTTTCTAACAGTTTGTCCCTGCACATGTGCTGTGCCCAGTGCTGTGCTCGTGGCCCCTGCACTCGAGCACAAGGAGTTTGATGGATGCAATCAGGCTCCTTGCAAAGAGAGGCCCCAGGCAGTGCAAACACCACACACTGGCTCATGAAAATTTCAGGACAAATGACAGCTTCTCTGAAGCAGCCATGGGAGCAGCTGCTGCTTAGAATAAAATGGGTTATTCCTTCTTTTCCTCTAATTGTCAGCTTGCGAGTACACTGCGCTGGCCAGGGCTGTAAATATTCTTTTCTCTTCTTCTTTTTAAATAGAAAAAATTAAAAGTTGAACCACAGCCACCATCCTGCACAGGTTTCTTCCTGTCCTAGAGCTTATAGCTGAAGTATGACACTCCAGCTGCCCTCTGTCTCCTTCCAGCTCGGTTTCCAGAGAGTCAAACAACAGCTTGAATTTTGCAAAAGGCATTGAGTAACTTCTAGGAGAAAAAAACAATAATTGTATATCCATGGCAAGACACACTGCTTAATGATTCAAAAGATTGTTGCCATGAGGCTGGGGAGAAAATTTGTTCTGATGTATAACACTGCAAGTTGACTCAGTGATTCAGTTTATACATAAATCAACAGAAATGTCAATGTGTATCTGAGATAAAACAAACAACAGGCTGACCCTACTGCTAAACCCACTGTTGTTTCCATCCACTCATTATCAGCACATTACTTGAAAACAGTTTTTATTTTCAGTAATTACTCATGAGTAATTCCAGTAAGAGAGAATCACTAAGATGTGCCATTCTACTCACAGAAGGACTTACAGGCAACTGAGTAAGATACTCAGGGTAGGAAGTAAATATTTTGAAAGGCACCCAGCACCCTTTATATGAGACAATAATTTACATATTGGCAAGATTTTGGCCACGTTTTCAAAAGAGGAGTGCAAAATTACTGTATGTTTATATAGAAAATGTATTTTAAATAAATAAATATAAATATATATAAATAAATAAACAAATATATATATATATATATATATATATGTATATATATACACACACACACACCCTGATCCTGACTTGGCTGTTAAGTATCTGTTCACCTTTAAGTCCACAAATGCTTTTTATTTCATAAAACTGCTAAACTATCTTCCTAGAGTTTCACTGAAAGAGAAAAGCAGGTATTTTGATCTCTAGTGCCCCCAAATTTCTGGTCAGAAATGCTACAGATTCTTTTGACAACTCCAGACTAAACACAGGACTTCAGAATTCAACTTTTTAAGCTCCTCTCTTTGGAAATCTTACACATCATGATTTCTTCCTTCACAGTAGTTTCTCCATTAATATGGAAACAGCTCTCCAGCTAAAAAAGCCCTTTGAATTCTAAATAGGTTTTCAGTGACCTGGTTCAGAGTTTTACTTGAACCAATTTTCCAGGAGCTGTAACTGGGACATTATTTTAAAGGCACCCTACAAGAATAACACCACAGCATTCACAAATCCAGTTGCTAGAAAGCATGACTTAGGAGATCACAGAGACATTTTCATCACTAAGAAAGTCCTTCAAGACTGTGGGCTGATGTGAGTATCACAGAGAGAAAGGCTGTTTCAAAATGCACACATATATTTGTCTAATATATTCCTTTCCACTCACAGCTCAGTCAGGCAGAGCACTGATTAATAACGTTCTTCACAATAAAGAGTCCAGAGTTTCTTACCTAAACAGGACTTTTCGTCTGCAGCAAGAGAATGCCCTGGATGACACTCGCATTTTGCAATTCCTCTCTCATTCTGACAGATTTGTGAGCATCCTCCGTTCCCACTTGTGCAGGGGTCTATCACTGAAACCAATTAGAGCACACTGTCAACTGAAAGGTCACTTTTTGCCTGGAAATGGTCTTACCTGCCATTGTTACAACTAATGACGAAGTAGCTGTAAGAGATTAGACTGGGGAAAAATGTGACAGCATATGGTGAGTAAAGCTGCTGTTTTTCTGGATGCTTTTTGTTGCTGGACAACATTTTTCACAGAGCAGCAACAAGGCTTTAAACAGCAGGAAACCGAGCTTGTATTACATTGGAAGTAGGACAAAAAAAGTACATTTTATTGTTATTTTGCTGTACCTGAACAGATTTCAAGAGTTCTCTAAACAACAGCAATTAGCACTCCAGTATGTGTGAATCCATAAACACACACAATGATGGAGTTCACCACGAAACAATGAATATTTAAAAGGCTTGAGAGGAAATAAACACTGAAGAGCCCCCAAAGACATCTTTTAGTCTATAAACATATGCCATTCATGTTGTACATCAAGGCTTTTTCCTCTTCTTGAACAATAACATACCTTTTCAAGGATAAGCTGCCCTAAGTGGCAAGTACTTAGAAAAACTTTTATGAAGTGCCTACAGAAGCCTCCATCTCGAAGATTTCATTGTGTTGTATGGGTTTATTTCTGGAACACGTGCCTGCTGGAAGCATACTGCCCAAACAGAGACTTGGCACACCCCAGAACTGACCCACCACGACTGTTCAGACAGGTCTGACTTGGGCTAAGCCCTCACATTCTGCACCAGGCTGAGGTTTTGCTTTGGAGCACCCATTACACCAAAATTCTGGTGAATAACATTCCACAGGCAAATTTGGAGGGCACCTTGAAAATGTGTCCTCTACAGTTCTGTTTGAATAAAATCTCTGGAAGTTATACTTGTTTCCCTACAATTCCAGCTCTGATACAGCTTTAGCATTTCACTAATTACTGTCTGATTTGAGACAGATGAGCAATATTTCTCACTTGCCCTGCTCTGTAAAAGCCAACTTCTCTCAGAGCCCTAGAAGAAAGTCACCATCAGTTCAACACCACTGGAGTCAGGGTTTGAGGAGCCCTGGGAAGGGCTGAAGGAGTTTTGCTCTGACCTGGCTGCTTTGCTCTTCCATGGGCTACACAGAAGGAGGGAACAGGAGAGAAAATCCTCTTCTTCACGTGGATTTAAATAAATATGGGACAGGGCACTTTTTTGTCCCTTTTCTGTACAGCCAAGTGGTATTTTTTGCCACCATTTGGTAAAAGAGGAAGCAGCCACAGAACATCCTCAAACTGCCTCATGTCACCTCCTGCCATTTCAGGAACACACAACGTACAAACCGTTCCAGTCTGCAGGGCTGAGTTTGACTTGACAGTATTAAACAAAAAAAAACCAACTAAAAAAAAATAAAATAAAAGCACGGTTAGGGATGTAGAACTGAAATTGGACTTCTGACACGATAGGTTGCAAATAGGTTTCCAAGGAACAGCAGCACTTCATCGTGCATGACACTTCCAAGGCTGACAACTTGGCTCTGCAGCTCGACAATTTGCGGTCTACAAAGGATTTAGCTCCAAGCAAGAACTCGCTCCTTGCTGATATGAAATATTGAGTTATTTGCCGATTCCTTTTCTATTTGGGTAAATTAAATGAAATCACTATCAAACAGCATCTGTTAAACCTGCATATTATGAAGGTTTTCAGAGCAGCTAAAGCTTTAATTTGAGAATGATTACAGCACGGAGTAAAGCTTGTAATGCTCTGTGACATGACAACAGGCAAACAACAAATTACACAGTGGATGTTAGTAAAACATAGTAATTCAAATAAAGGTAGCAGCCTTGGAAGTCCTTGGATGAGGTAAGTTTGTAAAGGAAAGATCTTCAGGACATGAGGCAATCAGTGATTGACTTGCTTTGCAGTGATATGTTCCTGTTAGAAGCAGGTTTCAGGAAAAGCCAAAAATAACTCATTAGTGTTCTTTTTTTCACACATTTGCCTCTTACTGGTTCATTTAATAACTTTAGTAGATAACAGACTCCATCCTACAAATCTCTACTCCAAGCTGTTAAACACTATGGTGAAAAATTTACTGGCATGGTTTCATTTCCCAGGTGCCTCAGGACACAGAATCCCAAAATGGTTTGGGTTGGAAGGGACCTTAAAGCTCATCCAGCTCCACACCCTGCCATGGGCGGGGACACCTCCCACTATCCCAGGATGCTCCAAGCTCCATCCAGCCTGGCCTTGGACACTGCCAGGGATGGGGCAGACAAGGCTGTAAAGAACAGGGTCTCCAGTCCTGTCTGCAAAAACCTGTAGAGCACCTAAAGAAAAGAGGCTTGGGCTTTATCAAATAAATTTTCTTGTTCACAGCAACCATGACTTCACACTGGAGAAAATATAAAGTGGTAAAGAGAAAAACTGCCAGGCTTGAGCGTTTCTCCAAGGCTTTGCAGGGCTGTGGGTGCAGTATTAACTCCCAAAAGTCCACAGGGATGAATCCACACCTGCACAGCACCTACACCTGCTGTGGCAAACACTCTCATCACACTGTGGTTTCTCCATCCAAACCATCACTCCAGCAGCCAAGCTTTGGGTGGAAAATAAAAAAACATCCAGACTCACCTCATCTACTTAAAATATCTCTGAACTGACAACCCAAATGCATTCATGACCACTTCACCCTCATTTGTTCCTGTAAAAATCTTGTCCATGGCCTTACCTAGCACTTTTCTCTCCCAGGCATTCATTCACTCAGGTATTTATGGGAGGGAAAAGCATCCTACTCAGTCTTCATTTTGCAAGCTGAGCTCTGCTTACAAGGCAGATCCTCCTTCCCCCAGGCAGAGCTGCTCTCCTGGGGAGGGCTGAAGTGATTCATTTTGGTTCAAACACCCTGGGGTAACCAGGTAATGGGTGCCTACCTGCAGACAAGGCTGACCCTGCCCCTCTCTAGTGTTCAGTATTCACAGGCTGGTGACAAAACACTGCCTTTGGTGAGTGGGTGACTCTCTTCAGCCTCACCATGTGAGAGGGTGAACAGTGGTGGCAAAACCTCCCCTTTTAGGGGTCCCAGTTGAGACAGAGCATGGAAATGGTCCATGGGAGCTTGAACTGTGCTGTGAGCACTCCAGGAGAATTCCCACCCCACCTGGCATCACTCAGATCCCTCTGACCCAACCACAGTCCCACCAGTCCATAATCCCACCCCACAGCCCTGTGCAGGCTCTGCACAGCCAGCTGGCCAAACACATCTCGAGATGTTTGGAAAAGGGATGGAGACCAGCAGAGGAAGCTCTGTGACACCCCGTTCTCCCCAAATCTCCCCTTTTCTGGCTCTGTGATAATCTTAGGGAAAAAATGTGGCCACTCCATGAGAGACAGAGAGGCCAGCAGGCTGTGGGTGCTCCCTGGGGTGCAGCCCCCATTTGGGGCAGGATTTGGGGGGAACCAAACCGAAGGGGAAGGGTTCTCCGCACCCAGCAGGAGCTGGGAGCCATCTGAACAGCAGGATTTACTTACACTTCATCCACAGCGTGCAAAATCTCCGAGCAGAAGAGGAGCCATATGGAAACGGTTTTGTGACAGGAATTTCAGCTCAATAAATCCATAAATTTGGCCTTATCTTTCTCTGGCATGTTCAAGGGTGTGTGTGTGTGTGCTTGTGTTGGGGAATGGGGGGGTTGCCTTCAAAACTGATGAATATGTTAAGATATACAAGAAAAGAAAAGCAACAATCAAACCCAAAGGTAGCACTGCTGTTCTGCTTGAGAGGCTGCTTAGAAACCTGAAGGGCAGGATGAATGAATCAGCCTGTGATAAGCCAAAAGGAGATAAAGAGAAGACTTTTTTGTAGAATAAAACATGTAATGCAGGCCAACTCTATATGCAACTTGATGAGCAATAAAATGTTAGAATTAAATCACATTAAGTTCCTAACCTATGTCATCACCATCATTGTGCAAGGAGCAGCCAGGGATCTAGGAGGCCAAAATCTTGTTCAAAGCTGTGATTCAAAGTGAGCTTCACACCTCAAACACGTGTTATATTTAAAAGTCTGTCATTAAGCAATTCCCAAAGCTGCTTTTGGAAATAGGAATGAACACAGTGACCCAAAACACAATCCTGGGGTCTGTTAAATTGCCTTTACTGCGTGTCTTCAACAGAGGACTCACCTTCACAGGATTTGGCATCTGCCTTCAGCTGGTAGCCTGGCTGGCACTGGCACTTGTAGTGGTCCTCACTGAGCTGAACACAGTCCTGCTCGCAGCCCCCGTTGTTAATGCTGCAGGAATTGACAGCTGGAGCCAAGGAAGCAGGGAAGGAAAGCACATCAACAACCTGGGAGGACTTATTTTCTATTTTAAATACATAAATGACAGCAGAAGCAGACAAACCTTGCTGAGCAGCTTTCAGAAATGCTCCTGTACCCTCCCTTGTGCTCACAGAGCCTGGCTGACAGCATCCCACACCAGTGAAATCCTGATTCACAGAGCCTGCTGACACAGCCCCACACCAGTGAAATCCCAATTCACAGAGCCTGACACTGTCCCACACCAGTGAAATCCCAATTCACAGAGCCTGACACTGTCCCACACCAGTGAAATCCTGATTCACAGAGCCTGCTGACACAGCCCCACAGCAGTGAAATCCTGATTCCAGGGAGAGGCAGGTGAGATCTGAGGGCTGTAATGCTGACTGAAGCACAGCACCCTTTGATCTGACAGCACCAAAGCGCTGCCAATCCACCGAGGCAAGGAGGGGAGAAAAGAACAGCCCTGCTGGCACTTGCCCATTGATTATATTTTTCTATTCCTTGCTTTCATTGATTAAAAATAGTAATTGTTGCTCAGGCTGATTTCCTCAGCCTCATAAATAAAAAAAATTCAAATAACAGAAGCCACAAGCCCTGCAGAACAGAGTCACACAGCAAACCACAGGAACACAGGGTCCTCTGTACATCTTTAAAGATGCTGCTTCTTTCACCCCAGCAAATTAATATTCCTTTTTGTTCAACACATATCCCTGGCCTCTGGAGAAACATTTCTCCTCCTGACAAAACATGTTAACACACACCCACACCTATTCACAGGCTGTATGTAAAAATAAGAGTGATGGTTTGACTCTGCTATTGTGCTGTGCTGATGGGTGTGTGTGTGTGTGGCTGTATCGAGATTTCCACAGCAGGGATGTAGTATGGAGAGATTTAAATGAGATATTAGGAAGAAATTCTTGACTCTGAGGGTGGGCAGGCCCTGGCACAGGTTGCCCAGAGAAGCTGTGGCTGCCCCTGGATCCCTGGAAGTGTCCAAGGCCAGTCTGGATGGGGATTGGAACTATTTGGGGTAGTGGAAAGTGTGGGAAGGGGTGGGGCTGGATGAGTTTTAAGGTCCCTTGCAACCCAAACCATTCTGGGATTCTGTGTTCTCTATGGGCAGCTGGAAAGATTACTTGGTCCATCATGGGCTGCACCAAACTCTGAACCCAATGAAGTCAGCGAAGAGCTTTGATATTTATTTTTTTAATATTAATTTTAGCAATATTTGTATTTCCTCAAGCATCTGTAACAGACATTAGTAAATGTTAGCTACAAAACCCACTACAGGATTCGTTTCACCCTATGCAACCAATTAGCAAACACTGAGTTTCTGCAGTCAAGTATGTGTTAAAAAGGTGAAAAGAAAAGCAAATTTTTACATTCTCCTGGCTGCACATACAGCAGGAGGCACCTCAGTGCCCAGAAACCTGACCCTGGCTTCTGATCCCCACCTGTGCCCAGGAGCCTCCTGCCCTGCCACAGACAGGCCCTGAAAGCAGCACACCCCACACACTCTGGGCTCCCAGCTCCCTGCACATTCGCATCCAAAAACCTGTTTTTCAGCAAGAATATTCAAATAAGATGAAAATATTTCAGGAGACGAAAAACATCTTAAATCCAAGTGACAGAATATACATGTTGGCTTTTCAAAGTGCCGTTTTCTCCCTCAGTTTCTGGGCAGGAGCCAATCTGGCTGCGGTGGGAGATAACAGCAACCTGCCATGGTGAGGGTTTGGGAGGCTCTGAAGGTGGGAGGGGACAGGTGAGAACCCCACGAGCCCCAGTTTGGTGTGTGGCTGTGCCAGCTGCCAGGGCAGGTTTGTCACCAGGCTGGATCCCTGAGAGGAGGTGCCAGACTGAAGGGGAAGAGCTCCCAGGGACAGGACAGGGTTGTGCTGGTGGCTGCCAGGCACCAGCAGCGCCTCTCTGAGCACAGAGAGACTTGGCATCTCCTGGATATGGCTCCAGCTGTCACCAAGGGGCTGTGGCCGGAGGGATGGGCACCTGCACAGGCAGAAATAGGGACTGACATTCATTTTTCAAAGGTTTACTCTCGGAATTTGGTAGGAACCCAGCTCTGATGTGGACTCCAGACAGGCTAGGGATGATGCCAGGTGATGCCAAGAGAGGGAGGGGGTATCTGGGAAGGGGGCCAGTGGTGGGAGACAGTAGGTGGGAAAAACAAGGATCACAGAATGGTTTGGGTTTATCCTAAAGATCATCTCATTCCACCCCCTGCCACGGGCAGGACACTCCCACTGTCCCAGCTTGTTCCAGCCTGGCCTTGGACACTTCCATGGATCCAGGGGCAGCCACAGCTGCTCTGTGCCACCCTCACCCTCACAGGGAACAATTCCTTCCTAATATCCAGTCTAACCCTGCTTTCTGACAATTCAAAGCCTTCCTTCCTTGTCTGTCACAATATGTCCTTGTAAAAATTCCCTCTCCAGCTCTCTTGTAGCCCCCTGATCTGATAACAGTTAAGAAATACACATTCTCCACCCATTATTTATATTAAAGGTGATATTTTTACAAAGAGCTGGCTCTGAAGCCATAGTCAGACATATGCATAGCAACCATGGGGTTAGAACATGCAATCTCTTCCAACCTGTGTTTCACATAACCTTAAATCCAACCTTGCCAGTGACAAGAAATGTAACTTCAGACATGCAGGGCTTATATTTACAGTGGAAAACACAGATTATAGAGTAGTAGAGACGTTTTCTTTGTTACTTTCTCAATATAGAAGAGCCTTAGTGTGCTAAAATCTCCATTAAAAAACAGCATCTCAACAGCTTCTCTACATAAAGCAGACATCAAAGGTAACAGCTGGCACCAGAGATGAATCAGGGTCTAATGGCTGTGCCCTGTTTCCACTTCTAGGAGTTCAAACAGGAATAAATTCCACTGAAGACAATGAATCTACAACAGTCCAAACCCACAGCCTGATACCACAATAAACATGTTCTTTCTGAGTTTCAGCCTTTCAGATACCAGCTGGTTAAACTCCAGCGAAGTCAAACTCATCGCATTAACATAATCAAGGCATTACAAACAAAGCAAACAAAAAACTTGGACAGGGTTGCAGTGAATATTTGGTCTGGCACGTGTGTTTATAAATTAATTCAATGCTGAGCAAAATTTGTAGGACCAAAAAGCTGAAGGAAGAAAAGGAGCATTGAAAGAGATGGGATTTTATCATGGCATGAAGTACTGGGTAACATCAAAGGATTCAGGAATTAAATAGTTTATTCTCACACACTGGTCATCACTGGATAAGGCAACCCACTCTGGAGATTTTTGGGTCTGAGCAGAGTATGAGTTGAGTTCTCTGTCTTAGAGTATGAGCAGAAGTTTCCAATGAGAGCAGGAAGAATGGCAAAAGCACATTTCCTCTCCCCACGTATTTTAAGGCTCATCCTGGCAGAGGAGGGATGGGCCACCAGCAACAAGTCAGGATCCCAAACACCCTGTGCTGAGGTGGCAGGAGGGCAGATTTACTGCAAAACTTGGACAGCAGCTCAGTAATATTCCATGATCACATGAGGAAGTATCTCATCCCAGGTTTTTGAGTCCTCAGATGCAGGCTGAATATCTTTTAACATGATAGATCCACTTCCTTATGTATGGGAGATTTCCAAGCCATCCAGGCTGCAAAATCTGCTTCCCCTCAAATGATTTTGGCACTTTTGTTCCCACAAACACAGGGTTGCCAAAAAAGAAAAGCAGGACGTGGAAAGAATGAACCTAACAGCAATCTGGGCTGGGCTTCTCTGAAAAGCCTGTCTGGAGGGACTCTTGTTTCTTATTTCTGCAGCTGAGATAATCACCTTCCATAAACAGCTCAGTGCCAGAATGGGGTCCCTTTTCTTTCTCAGCATGCAGGAGAGATCCTTACATCCTCTGAAGTACCCATGGAATAAATAGCAGTGCTAATCCAAGCCTGTTTGAGATGCTGGGTGTTCTGCTGAGCTGCACTGGGTCAGAGGAGAGGGGCATTAGTGGTTTGCTGCTCATCAGATGAGTGATGAAAGCTGAATGTACAGCCTGGTGCTGCACAAGGGGCAAACCCTCCATCCCCAGCAAGCAGCTACAGCCCAGATCCTGATCCCAGGCACTCCTGATTTATATGGAATGCTTCTCCCTGTCCTCATCAATTAGTAACTGTCTTGTTCTCCAATGCATGAGAGCTTATTATATCCATTTGTTTTGGTGTCTTGTCTAAACAGCTGGAACAGGGCTCAATATCCTTCCTCAGTTATCTTGTACATCCATTATTATGATTGCAGAGCTCTCTCAAAATCCTGCCTCCCATCTCAGGATTTATTTTTGTTTCTCCTTGATAGTTTCTGAGACATTGCAAACAAAGCTGGTCACTGGATGAAGTACTTCGAATAACTTCTTGAGAATATTTACATTTACAAAATGAAAACTTGTTCTCTGGTATTGTTCACAGCTTGGACAAAGCTAAACTGAGCTTGCTGATTATGTGAGGCAAGAGAAAACCTAATTATTTTGTGTCCACAGAAAATTTTACATATTACACATGTAAATTCATTTAATTGCCATTAACATCTACTTTTTGCCTTTATCACACAGTTCTCTTTCTTTTTTCCCTCCAAAGTCCCTTTAGTCTCCTTTTCATATAAAAATCCCTCTCCACCACAAATGAGACTATTCAGAGGAAGCAATGCAGCTCAAAACTTTCACTTCTGGATCTTCCCTGGTCAGATCTGATTGAGATTAATTTCTCTTTAAATTCACAGAAAACCAAATTGCTTCTAGTTAATGATGAACCACTCTGTTTTTACATTATTTTTTCCCCTTTCACTATAGTGTTTCCCCGTCCAGTCCTTCACCAACTAAGATAATCAAAAAAAAGACTGAGACTTCATCACATATTTAATTGCAGTTAATTACCAAACACTGAAAGTCTCTGTATGTGATAAACACAAAAAACCTAAAAGGGTAAGTTTTAAAATAAAAAAAAATCCATTATTCCCACTGCACTGGTACCCACAGGAGCACTGGTACCTCCTGTGTCCTGGCTGCATCAGGGAATGTATTGCTGTGATAATTCCAGCAATGACTGATGACATCTCTGGCTGAAGTTAAGCACAACCAAGGGACTCTGTGCAGGAACTGAGGCAATGCCCAAACTGTGAGAACTTATTCTGCAGATGTAGTCTGCCTGCACTTGACTGTTCTTCCCATATTACCTCAAATCAGGCTTAAAAATTTAAACAAAAGGTGCCCTTTTCTTTTTCTCAGATGTAAGAATATTTTAATCCTTTCTGCAGAATGCAAAAATTTGACTTTTGTACTGATTTAAACACGATACAAGAACTGTGTATTTCATATTATTGTTTTTAACAACAAGCAGAAATAACTCAGGTGTGCCTTGTTTCAGGCTTTAGAGTCCAACCTAAGAAACACAGAGTTTGTTTTTGCAATTCTCTCCACATAAACAGGCAATGCGTCATGGCTGAGCTCCATGGTGCTCTCATGGACACGAGCACACACGGGGTGACTCCACCCTGTAAATCACAATCATTCACCCTGGACACAACCTCTAAACTCACCAAGTCCCAGGGCAGTGCTGGGATGTGCCACAAAGAAAAAACACTGAGAATTTAAAAAATGTCATTTGAAATGAAGACACCCTAAGCTCTTCAGTGCCTCCTGCAAAAGAATTTTCGCCAACATGAGACACCATCAAAAACCCAAAAAATGAAACAAAATAAAGAGTAATTTTGGCAATACCTTTATCCTCACAGGCTGCTTGAACCAGAGTGGGTAATATATTTAGTGAAAACTCAGATTGGAGAGTCTAGAAGATTTTGCAGTCAGAGAAAAGCCAGAGTTGGAGGATGAGAGGGTTCCTTACTGAGGCAGGTGCGGCCGTCGGCGTGGAGCTGCAGTGTTGAAAGGGGGGTTCTTTCAACAAAAAACCAAATAAAGTGTAATTCTGGCAATACCTGAATCCTCACAGGCTCCTTGAACCAGAGTGGGTAACAATATTTAGTGAGAACTCAGAATGGAGAGTCAGAAGGCTTTGCAGTTAGACAAAACCCAGATGTTGGGAGGATGAGAGGGTTCCTTACCGAGGCAGGTGCGGCCGTCGGTGTGGAGCTGCAGTGTTGAAAGGGGGGTTCTTTTAACAAAAAAATCCCCAAAAACTAAACAAAATAAAGAGTAATTTTGACAATACCTGAACCCTCACAAGCTGCTTGAACCAGAATGGGTAATAATATTTAGTGAAAGCTCAGATTGGAGAGTCAGAAGGCTTTGCAGTTAGAGAAAAGCCAGATGTTGGGAGGATGAGATGTTCCTTACCGAGGCAGGTGCGGCCGTCGGCGTGGAGCCGGAACCCCGGCTGGCACTGGCACAGGAAGGAGCCCTGGGTGTTGGCACAGCCTGGCACTGGCACCGAGGGTCACCCACCCCGGCTGGCACTGGCACAGGAAGGAGCCCTGGGTGTTGGCACAGCCCTGCTGGCAGCCCCCGTTCAGCACCTCACACTCGTCCACGTCTGCAGAAGGAAGGGAGGGACACGGTGAGGGAGGATTGCAAGAGACCCTGGTTCTCCTGCAGGGCTCATCCAGAATGCAGGGAGCTTGGGCTGGGTTGTTGTTTACTTCGTTTTGGCAGCAGAGAAAAGGGGAATTTGAAAAGTGGAATTTTATGGTGTTTTTCCAAGTTCCTGCAGGCACTGCCTCTGTAGTCTCTGCTTCTGAAGTCCTGGTTAATTAGAGTGATTTGTGACAGGCTGAGAAAAATATAAGGGAAGAATTAGGGTTAGATAACACATCTGAGCCAGTAGGAACTGCTGGTCAAACCTTTGGCTTTTATAAAAACTTGCTCTATGAACATTTCCTTCTGCATCAGGCTTTAAATCCTATTGTTCTTGGGGGTACAAGCAGGTAAAACTGACCTGAATGGACAACAGACACACTCTCCATCACCATTACATTTTCAACCATGGATAGCACAGAGAGTTTAAAGAGAAAACTTTAGAAGAGTGAGGAATTTGTGCTGCATTTTCTGTGTCCCTTGCCATACAAGCATAGAATCACAGAATGGTTTGGGCTGGATGGGACCCTAAAGCTCCTCTCATTCCAACCCTGGCCATGTTCAGGGACATTTCCCACTATCCCAGGTTGCTCCAAGCTTCATCCAGCCTGGCCTTGGACACTTCCAGGGAAGGGGGAAAACATTGTGTCCTGTTCTTCCTTGTGCTCACCTAAACTTTCCACAGCACCTTCTCAGACAACCTCCCAGAAAAATGATGTGAGCTCCTGCTGATACCTTTTCCAAAGCTAAGCAGGCATCATTCCATATTTCAGGGGATTTTAGAGGATTACATTCGGTCAAATGAAGAGGCAAACAAGCATTAAACCAGCTTGAGAACGCTGCTGCAAAGTTCCAGCTGAAAATGATGGACAATGATGGACAAAGATCAAGAAGAGTTTAAGTAAACAGGTGAAGGTCTAAGACAGAATCATAAAAAACTGAATTTCCAGAAGTACCACATAAGCAGTTTCTGCACCTCTTCAGCAACGCTGGGCTTCTGTAAATAGCATTTGATTGACATGTTGACACCATTACCTTAAAAATCAACATGGGGTCATTGGAAATAAGGGTCAATTAGTCCATTCCCTGAAAAAAATCCACCTGGCAGATATTTGCCTAGATTTTGTCTCTCCTTTCCTTTGCAGTCCCCAGGGACAGCAGCTCCACCTCCCACCATCTCCCCCAGGGGCGATTCTTGTCCCAAATTATCCAAATGCCAAAGATATTTTCTTCCCCAAGTCAAGTCTCCCTCCTGCAACAGACATCTCTGAAAAACCCCCCCTTTCAACACTGCAGCCTCCTGCTGATTTAATTGCTCTTCAGATCATGTTCTGAAATTATCTAATGGGAGGCAAGTCCACAACTGCTCCTGTGGGGGAATGAAGGAATTTCCCCCCCCATATTGCTCTTGAGGAACAAGGGGTCTGGCTTTCATATCTTTGCTCTGGTTATATCTGTTTTGCATTTAACTTTCATGGTTTACATATTTTTTTAATGCTTTTATGTTTATTCCATTTTAGAAAATCTAATCACAATTAACTGAAAGAGGAAGCTTTAAAGAAGACTTGGAAATGCACAACATCCCTCTCCTGAGGAAATGCATTCATGAAGTTCAATTTTAATACTTCACATGTGAATTTCCCTCACCTAAAATGAAGTCCTGGTGTTGACTGGTGTTTAAATTCAGACCATTTGCTAACATGCACCACTTTTTGATCCTTCTGCTGTATTTGTTGTTTTATTAGACTGTATACTACATACATGTCCTTTTGCCTGGAGACATCTGGAATATGCTTTTTTTGAACCAGAAATCTTGCCTTTTAAAATGTAAACAGTAAACAGAAAATGTTATTCACCTTGTTTAATTCCATACCGCTAAGAACCAGACTGCTGAAAAATGCTAGGACGAAATCAGACCCAGGAAACCCTTTGTATGGAGTGTCAGAGAAATAAAATAAGCAAATAGTCTCAGAAAAATAGAACAAGGAAGCAGCTGAACCACATAGTACACCACATTCCAGTATTTATACCTCAATAAACCCAAACACTGGGAGCTTCAGTATTTTAATTTTATAGGCTACGATCAGCTGGAGAATTTCTCTCATATACCAAACACAGTTTTAAGTTCGGATATTGGCACTTACGAAGGAGAAAAAAATAGTCCAGCTAATAAAAACGAGCTGGGAGTTAGTGATATTTGTTAGTCTCCATTTGGAGATTTAGAGGAGTGGCTTGGTTTATGGGGCAGCTCTGCACCCAGCAGCAGCTCTTCCCTGAGCAGCACTTCCCTCATGCTGGCACATCCCAGAGCAGTGATATTGCTGAAAGGCAGCACAATTCAATGCAAAATAAAAGATCCTCAACCACTTGTGCCCATGGGCTACACCCAGCCCCAGCCTGAGCCTCCCTGCAGCAAGAGGAGGCAAGAGCAGGAGCAGAAAATGCAGCTCCACGACGCCACATCAACAGCAAACCTGGTGACAGATGATCCCTTCCAGCCCCAGACTTCCTCTGCAAGATCAATATTTTAAGGATTATATGCTGAAAGATTCCTTCACATCCAGCAGATAAAATCAAGAGAAATGCAAGGCGCAGTCGCCTTTCCACGTCTCCTCCATCTCAAGGCCAGGAAACAGCTTCGCCCCCAGATACAGCAGAAAAATTCCCTAATTATTTTGTCTGGGGAGCAGTCTGCAAAGCAGACACTGATCTAAATGCCTGAACTGCATTTGAAAGTTTTAGATGTCTAAACTATTTGGACTCCCACATTTTAATTGCTGTACTAGTAAAGGACACGTAGCAGCAAAACAACAGCTTCTGCTTTTGTAGGTACACAAGTGGATATATTTTTTCTACTTGCCTACAGAAAGATGAAATTATTCTAGAATAGCAGATGTATAAAAAAATATTTAAAAGCATTCTTGAAATATAAAGCCCTTCCATTTCAATTCTAGACCATCACAGGATTATGGAAGATTGTATCTGCATCTGTGATTAAATTTGGATTAGTTTCCAGTGCAGATCAAACTGAAACACCTTCCTGCTCGAATTTCTATAGTTACAACCTAGGATGCTTATCTGAATAACCTGAATTTCAAACCACTTATGGCTTGCTTATCACAAGCCAGGCTGTGATGAAAGCAGCTGCATCCCCACAAGACAGAGGGAGGGCAATTCCTGGGGACAAGAAGGAAAATGAGAGCTGTGTGCTGTCCCCAGGCTGTCTTGCCAAGGAGATTACACTGCTGGGTGAACACAGCAGAGGTGGTGTGTGGATATTCCCCCTCTCACCTTCAGAACATTGCAGAGATGCTTTACAAGGGGGTTCCCCACTGAAGGTACCTTCCTGTGTCCTTGTTTGTTCACCTTTCATCAGGAATTACCTAACAGTCACACAAACCAAAGCCTGTGTGTTCCCAAGATATTTTAAAATATTTTAACCACATCTTTTTTAGCTCCTCATGCTCCTGAGGGCTGTGCACTTGGACTGACCCTTCCTGCATCCCAACGCCTCAAGTTCCAAACACAACAGAAGAGGATGTGATGTACAAATGCCCAAGCCACTGCCAGCTCCTTTCCCTTTCCAAGGGCAGATCCCACAGGTGGAGTGCCAGGTTGTGAAATCCTCCACACCCCTGACTGAGGGCCTTGCTTATCATCAAGATGGTTGGTCCCTAATTGACTTGATTAATCACATTAAAAGTCCATTTGCCCTGCCCAAAACCAGTTTCAGTGCAGAGCTGAGTGACTGCTAGTTTGGAATTCAGGATTGTCACATTAGCAGCATTTTTCATATCATTATTAAAATGCTCAGGAACAGCTATGATCAATCAGCTCCTCAAAAATACACAGAGAGCAGTAATAAACACGGATAATTAGTGAACCTGCAATCATGGTTTTTACAAAGGAAGAAAGAAAGCAAGATCCTGCCAGAAATCAATTCTCTACTAACAGAAAGCTTTGCTTTTTAAGACCACTACGAAATGCAAACAAGATACAGAACTGAACTCCAAAAAGAAAGAAAAACAGGATAACAAGCCTCCATTTTGAGAATCCTGGATGGAGGAGAGATGATGTGCCAAAGGTATCCCAGGGATGGACACTTCCAAAAGCTGCATGTGACACAAGGGTAACAGCAAGGTTTGCCTCTCAAGGAGCTTCCCCCAGCCAGGGGCATTTTTTAAGAGTGACAAACGAACAGGCTTTCCCTCCTTTGACTATTGAAATCTACAGATTGAGAACTGTTCAGAGTCAGTGTTTTCTGAGAGATAAGCAGACAAAAAACTTCCTTTTCCTAGCACCCAGGCACTGATGGAGAAAGAAACCAGAACTAAGCAGGACCTACCTCACCATTTAGAGCAGATATGAGGAACAATTTTGTCCTGGAAGGGGTCATAAAGCATTGGAACAGGCTGCTGGGGCAGTGATGGAAATGCCACCATCTCTGGACATGGTTTAATGGTGAACACGCTGGTGGTGCTGGGCTGACTGCTGGACTGGATCCTGAAGGTCTTTTCCAACCTCAGTGGTCATATGATTTCAAGATTTTATTTAATAATTAATTAGTTTTCGGCAAAATCTCTTCCCTTTATCAACCAGAGAACAACACAGAGAGGCAGAGATCAAACAGCTGTGAGCATCACCCACCCCACAAACACCAGAATATGGTGTTTTTCCATATGGATGGAAAGATTTCTGTCCAGCTGGGGGCTGATGTGAGAACCCATTCCTTGCTGGTACCTGCACACAGGGACCCAAACACAGCATCTGTGGATCTGGCCCAAAGAACTTTCACTGCACCCTTTCTATTAAATTCTTAAGAAATACTACATAAAACAGGAATGAATGACACACAAACATTTCCTCTTTCCAGCCACCACAATCCCCGAACCTGCTGCAGAAAGGATGAGACCAGCAGAAGCAGGGAAACACAAACCCCTACTTGGATTTACTCAGAGA